AAACCCAATTTTCCCTGTGCTCTGTTCCCCACCCCCAGCACAGGCAGAGCTCCCTGCACGGGGAAAGATGAGACAGTTTGGAGGGTGGAAACTCCAACAGCCACGTTAATGAGGGGTTCAGAAACACCAGAGGCTCCCCAAAGCCTGGGTTTCACTGTGTTTACTGGTGTGTGCCTAATTAGGGAGACAGGGACAGGGAGAAAACCCCTGGAGTCCCCAAGGAAACACAGCCAGGGAGGGATCGGTGGCCCCGTGGCAACACTTTATCTGCAGGTGCCTCCCACAGGAGGGAAGACACAGAGTTTAATTCTAACAAAACAGGCAAACAGCTGAGGGACAGAGCGGGGATGACAGTGCTGGTGATTAAAAGGGGATCATGGGCTTCACATTCCCAGCCCAAGGCTCTGGTCCTGCATTAACAAATAAAGAAACTTTTCAGCCAACTCCACGGCCTCTCTTTTCACTCATTTCCATCCCAAAAGGAGTGAAACAGCATCACCTGCTGTAAGCTGCTGTAACTCAGCAAAACTCCCCCAGTGGAGAAGTTTTGCCTGGTATCTAATCCTGGCAGTGGGAAACCATTCCCTGTGTCCTGTCCCTCCATCCCTTGTGCCAAGTCCCTCTCTAGCTCTCCTGGAGCCCCTTTAGGCACTGGAAGGGGCTCTGAGGTGTCCCTGGAGCCTTCTCTTCTCCGGGTGAACCCCCCCAGCTCTCCCAGCCTGGCTCCAGAGCAGAGGGGCTCCAGCCCTGATCCACATCCCAGATGATCCCTGGCTTTAAATCAGTGTGTGATGCCTCTAACACCCTAGGGAATATACTGATTTACACTAGTTAAATATCCATCCTAGGATATCCATCCCTCACCATTAAGAATCATCGATAATCATCCACACAGATGTCAGAAGCAGCAGCTCCTCCCAACAGAGGCTTTAAAAGCTGCTCAAGTTACACCTCAAACCTGCAAAGGGTGAATCAAACTTGGGCAATGGGAGCCCCCCCAAAAAAGGGGAATGTTTAAAAGCAGCGATTGAGGCTCTTGCAGGGCAGCCCAGCCCTCCCAGAGCACCCGAAACCATCCGGTGGGTTCTGCTGCTCCCAAAGGAGCAAGGAGCTCCACCAGATTCCCCCAAAAAAGGGCAGTGGGAACAGCCAAGCCCGTGAAAGAGTGGAATGAAGGCAGCAGGAGCAGGCAGGGCACCCAACAATGGGCCCCTTTGTCCGGGAGGGCACCGGGGGGAGAGTCGATGGCACCGACACAGGAACCGGTGCCTCTCAGGTTTCACTGGGAATTAATTGTCTTTTGCAACCTTGGCGTGCCAAAGCCCTGCCTGGGTAAACTTGAAGTGGAATAGAAGATCCAGCGTCAACCCCCGTTGTGGCAGCTCCTCGTTAAAGGTTTTCCACACGGAGAGAGGCCCCAAATCTGCTTTTTGGCAGGTGTTATCCCCAGGATAACCCAGGGGAGGGTTTCTGGACACTCAGTGATCACACAGCTGGGAGCTGGAATGTCCATATTCCCACATTCCCATTCAGTCCTGGCTACATGGAAACAAGGACAGATTCCCTCTCCCTCGTTGTGACCCCAGTGGGATGTTCAGTCCCCCCCCCTCCCCGCTCCCCAGCAGAGACTCACACGATTAAACAAACTAAAATGGTTTTAACAAAGCCCTGGCTCAGTCCTGAATTTCCTGCACAAAACCCCGGCGAGCTTTGAAGAGGAAAAAAGGAACACTCAGGGAGGAGAAGGAGCTCGCCAAGAAAAATGTGTGGAACTTCGCTGCCCTCTGTTGGCACCTGCTAAGCAGGTTTTCCTCTCCCGGATCTCCGAGGGGGGAAAAAAAAGGGAAAAATATTGTTGTGTTTGACATGGAGGGGCTGGAGCAGCAGGAGAAGCTGAGGGAGCTGGGGGAAAACTCAGCCTGGAGGAAAGGAGGCTCAGGGGGGACCTTCTCACCCAGGGAACAAGGGACAGGACGAGGGGCAGGTTGGACATCAGGAGGAATTTCCTCACGGAGAGGGTTGTTAAACATTGGAAGGGGCTGCCCAAGTGGAGTCCCCACTCCTGGAGGGCTTCCAAAAACCCGTGGATGTGGCACTCCGGTGGTGAGCTCCATGCTCTTCCAAAAAGAGATTCCAGGACACAAAGAGCTTTCAAACATTTCACTGAATGCCAACAATCTGAGGGGAGAAGCACCTTTTTTTTTCTTTTTTTCTTCTTTTTAAAACCCTCCAGCCCAGATCAACCTGTGATTTAAACAAAAAAACTCCCCATGAACTCTGAGATCTGAGCTAAGAATTCAGCCATGACGCTGTGGGAGCTCCTGTCGGAGGGTTTCTTCGGGCCAAAAAAAGCTGCTGTTTCTCTGCAGGAAACACTTTGTCAGCCACAGTTTCCTGCTCGTTTTGTGGTGGGGCAGCTGAAAAGCTGCTGGAGGAAACGGCCAGGAAATGACAGAGCAGGTGGCAGAAAGGGAAAGGAGTGCAAGTGAAGAGCATCAGGTTCATTGACGAAAGGATTGGGTTGTAAATTCATTGACAAAAGGATTGGGTTGTAAATTCAGTGATAAAAGGATTCGGTTTCAAATTCATTGACAGAAGGATTGGGTTGAAAATTCGGTGACAAAAAGGATTTGGTGCCAAATGCAGCGACAAAAGACTTGGGTTGAAAATTCTGTGACAGAAGGATTTGGGTGCAAATTCAGTGACAAAAGAATTGGGTTGAAAAATTCGGCAATAAAAAGGATTTGGTTGAAAATTCATTGACAAAAGGATTTGGGGTGAGGGGGGGATGTTGCTGGAATAACCAGAGTTCTGTACCTGAGGGGAATGGATTGGGAAAGTAAAACTGAGGGACAATGGGACCACCTACAGAATAACCCCCTTCCCAGATTATTAGTTACATCTCACAGGCACTTTGTCGACTTTTTCAGGTTTATTTCACCTTTACAAAAGGTCACAATCAGAAATCTCGCTGGAAACATGAAAAAAAAAAAAACCACAGAAGAGTCCTCACAGAGCTGAGAACACCCAGGGCCAACACAGGGCAAGGAGGGGCTTTACTCCCCAGTATTTCGAGTTCTGAGTATAATAAATCCCCCCCAGGGGAGCTGCTCATGGGGCAGAGAGAGACTTTACAACTTTCTAAAATCAAAGTTATCCTATATTAGTTATCCCAGTTCACCTCCAGAGTCTGCACGTTTCCCACTGCAAAGGTGGAGGGAAAAAAAAGTCATTTTTAAAGTGATTTTCGCACAAGGAAAATTTGTCAGGAACACAAGAGGATCAAAGAAGGCA